TTCTATGTCCAGTATAACTCCCACTTTCATCACTGTCAGCGCTGTACACCCAGGCTTGAACATTTTTAGGCTCATTTTGATCAGAAAACAAAATACGGCGAACTTCTGTTTTTGACTCCATAGATGCAGTCCTTGTACTAGACTTTGTGTCATCTTTATACGGGGTATTCTCTGCCCCATATGTTTCACTATTGCAGTCTGACACTTTGCCTTTTCTACCTCCAAAACATCCTCTCAAACTGCTTAGCAACCCCTTTCTCTTGAGATCTTCTCTCTTTACTCTTCCGTTCATTTCCTTTTCTTTTTTAGAACTCTCGGGTTTCGCAGGTCTCTCTGCTTGCCTTTGTGCCACAATTCTGTGATCCTTTGACCCACTACTATCCTCAGAAAGAGCATTGTCTTGAATACCCCACTGCTCTAGACTTCCCTGCAGGCCATCCCACAAGGTTCCCTGTTTGCGACAAAGGTTTGTCTCACTGTAATTACTTCTAATGGGAACTACGTCATTATCTGTACCAGGTCCTTCGACTGTATCTCTGCTGGCTGACACTTCTGGTTCCCGAGTTTTCTTCAGACGCCTTTTCATTTTCCAGTCACGGATAAAGCTCATGAGGCCTTTTTTCTTCTCCATGGTATAATGAACCTTTTTATACCTTTCCTTTCTGCGAAAAGTTCCTTTCTTTATCTTAACAAGATTGGTCTTGCTCTCACTGTACGTAACAGCTCCCAGGACCAACCCTTGTCCTTTGAAAGAAATATCATCACCCTCACAACTGTCGTATCCAGTCTCCCTCATACGTTTTGTCTTCGTTATCAACCTCCATTTCCCTTTCTTAGTAGAGGCCTCGTCTCTACTACGAGGTGAAAACTCTCCCAAGCTGATTTCGTCATCACTCTTGTTGGAGAGGTCATCGACATGATGGATAAATCCACCCCTTGACAAAACCTCTTGCTCCCTTCGATCCAAGTAACTTCGATTCTTTGAACCTAAAAGAGCAATGTTTGTCTAAATTTCAGAACAATTCAAATCATTGGTTAGTTGAAGTTGAGCAAAAACGTTCATGGTAATAAGGAGATCGAAACAAAAGTCGAAAAATTCTACACTTGTATGGTTTGCTCAAGTTGAGGCTGAAATGTCTAAAAATCGTTTTTACAGCTAGGTTGAAACTTAGCTACGAAATAGAAGAAACCCTTTTTGGATTCTCAAAGAAATTTCGAAGAATTTTTAATTAAAAGCCGTCAATTGACTCACGAAGATATGATTATGAATTCTTCAATAATTACCCTTTTTGTATTGATCATCTCCAGCACCAATTTCGCCTTGGCTGCGATTAGATATAGTTTTATCGAGAACCAACCCTATTTTATCGACGAACTCTGATTCATAAGCCTCGATATTCTTTACAGCCTCTCCTTGAATTCCCGAACTCAGAGGCTTTGCAATTTCCATGTTTCTTTGCATTGCATTAAACTTAGCAGCCAAATCATCCAGCTCTCTCTTCATTCGGGCATTATCAGACTCAGACTGTTCAAGTCTCTCTTTCAGGTCTTTCTTCTCGCTCTCAGAAACAGAGCAGCGGTTTTCCAATTGGCCTTTCCCTTCCACGATGATGTCTTCATTTTCAGAGTCTAGAACTGACTTGTCTGCTGTTAGCAACCTCCTTACTTCCTGCTTCTCAAAGTTGCGTATTTCTTTGGCCAGTTTCTTTTTGCACATCGCTAGCTCCTTCTTTAGCTGATCAACCTGTTGGCTCAGTTGCTTTTCTTTCATCTTATACATCATCTTCTCGTCCAGCCCTTTTCGGCTTTGGGTATTGAGTGTCTGTGTCGCTTTGGCATGTACCTCCTTTACTTCTGGGTACAAATTTTCGTGCTTAGTGGCAGTCTCCGTTGTTCTTAATTTCTCTAATTGCCATCTAAGCCTCTTTTTCTTCAGCTCTTGGCTTTTCTGCCAGGAAGCCTCTTTGCTTTCTTCCTTAACATCAAAGGTATTGGCACTTGTAGCTTTCAAACTGTCAGTTATCTGACCTTCTCTGTCTTCATTTTGTTCCGTATTCCCAGCCGGTTGCACCACTGGTGGTGGCACAAACCACTTCACACGGACTGGTTTTCTTGTCGCATTGCTCTTGCCTTCAATCCAATCGCAGCTATTAACGACATCAGGTTGCAGGTGTACGCCTTTCAGCCCCGTCTTACCTTCAGAATTTGCAGAATCTTCAAGGTTTATGACCTCGTCCTCTTCTGAACACGACATTCTTTCCTTGCCCCTACCTAAACACGATAGAGGGTCAAGGGAATGCACGTGTGTACCCTTCCAAAGGGTGACTTGGGCTTCGAAAACGAACCGCTCTCCTGAAGTAGATAGTAGATCAAGTCAACATCAGAAAACCTGAGAACTTGCAAAAATCAATAAGAAAACTCTTTTCCTAGTGAAAGAAATTAAACACACCAAGTATTACTTTAATACATCTTAGCTTTAAGTTGTTCTTTGGTAAGAATTTGTGATTTGAAAAAGAAGTTTGACTTGAATGAGATACCAACCTGTCTCGCTCTGGTCCGAGATTTCTCAACTTCTGACTTGAAACTTCCAATAAAATTTGTAAAATTAATAAAGAATACTAAATAAAAGTAAATCGATTCAGCTTAAAGCTGAAACACGATCGATTTCCTCCAAATACGCAGAGGTAAGCAGCGAAATTTCACCTAAACGGCAAAACGGTCCTCACTCAACGGTAACTCAACCAGAATTGAAGCGAATTCACATCGAAGCTCTTTTAATGTGACGTGAGATTTCTTTGGTTATCAGTGACGTCAAATTTAAAACCAATGCGATGAAAGCTCAAGATATGCGGTAAAAACGCGAGAATTCTGCGTTGAATATACTGTAAAATTAATATACAATCGTTTAGAGGCGATGGAAAACTAGTAGCCAAGCCAAACAGAAACCGAGTTGCCAGTTATCTGAAATTGGTTTGCTAAAATTACGTTAGGGCTTTCATAGTTTTATATATTAATCATTAGAGTATTCATGGGGAAAGGGAGGGCTCTCCATCGTCCTGTACCTTAAGCAAACCATCAAGCATAAGCTCGTCCAATATATGAAATTGTCTTCATGTCATAAGGCTTAAGAATAAAATGGCGGCCAGATTAGCATATTTACTTATATCTCTTCTCAATCAATTTATCTACAGCATAGTCAAAAATTCAAATCAAAATTATTTCCAAAATTTATAAGCACAAAACTTGTTTCTATCAATATCTTTCACAGTGTTGTTATTTACAATGATATAAATAATAACAAACATTCACGAAGTCTAGTAATTTGAAATATATTTATTCGTATTAATTACAATGCATACAAAACCTAGGATTTTCTGTACAACTTTAATTCTTAAAAGTCGGGTCTATCATGAAAAGCCAGTACTTGCAAAAAGTCTATTGCACTCATGAAAGCTAGTTGCGTAGAAGATAAGGTCTTCGTGTTAGGCCATACATAAGATATCCCCACGGTAAGATCATTTTCAAATCGGATAAATTTTAAAAAGAAAAATCGACAAGGAAAATGCAACTAAAGACAAAGAGACTCTATGCAGAAGTTTTTAGATGTGAGAAAGTCAGGAAAAGTGTTGTCAAAAAAATTTTGAGAGAATTTTCAAGAGTTTTTAAAAATAACGGCAATGATATATCCAAATCATTTTTGAAAATATCAGCTTAACGTGTATCATAGGCCCGTTGAAATCGTTTGTGTTCCCAAATCAACGCTAGTTTGCCGTCTCTCAAGATTTGTTGTATTCTTGCATCCATTTTCTGAAGATTTTATTCTGCTTTGTCAGTTCAAATTCCTTAAGAGCACGACGTCTTATGTAGGTATAATTGTACCACGCAGAGAACACCTAAAAATTTAAAACCAGATAATTAAGCATTTACCTTGAAAAGTTGAGAGCTTGATGAAATTGATACGTACACATAAAAATCAGATTACTTGATTGGTTGGGAATATAATTTTTCTGTTTTAAGCAAAAAATCTTTCCCTTCCTATCTGAACAATGATAGTTGTTTATTGCAAATTTTTATTTATGGGAATTTTCGACATTTCGAAACAATTTAGTCTGCCCTTTGCGAGTACGTACGAATCATTCGATCAAAATATGAGTACGAGGCACGTAGGGTGACTTCATATGTTTCTAGCCATAACAAGAATCAATTACTCTCTCAACATACCTCTGAAAGCTGCTGTCGTGTCTCGTGCATCTCCCAGGCGCGCAACTACGGGGGGGGTCCTGGGGGTCCAGACCCCTGCCCTTTTTCTCAAAAGGGGAAAAGTGCCCTTTTTCCTGGAAAATTGCTTGAATATTTTAACTATTACGCTAAAATGGTTGGTCATACAGTAAATGACACACTCCGGAGATGTAATGGACCTCGCAGGAATACAGATAAATGATTTAGTCAAACTTTCACGCACTTGTTTGGTCGAACGTCATCATGTTGCAGTAATAGAGTCTATCTTCAAGCCCCAACTCTACAGCGTGTTTTATGATGCGCTACGCACTGGCTTTGAAGAAGAATGGTTCTGCGACTCAAAAACCAAAATAAAGGCACAAGATTTTGAACGGGATAGAGCCTCTACGACCTCTGGTAAAAAGTTACAAGAATAAAAACCAAGACATTTTTCAAGCCTGTCACATAGTTGACAGGGTCATAGAAGACCTTTGCATGAAACGAGCGAATGCAGAGAAATATTTTCGGACTGGTATTAGCAAGCAGTAAATATGGCACAAAAAGTTGATGTTCAGCTGTTCCGTTCCTTGTCAGTATTACAAATCAGCTGAAGGCAAGACTTGGATACAGAAACCAGCTGAAGGCAAGGCTCGTGGAACAGTTCAACCTCCTCCAATCTGTAGTGCGAAGCAAAGAATTCAATAATAATATTTTAAAGCGCAAAATGTCTTCGGATATGGAAGATGATGGGTTGCTATTCAAAAGTGAGCTGGCGCTGGGAAAAGGAGATGACAGCAGGGTCGCCGAGAGGGGGACAAAGGGGCAAATTGCCCTAGGGCCTCGAGGTCTAGGGAGCCTCACAAAGCAATGAATTCCGTTTTTAAATGGAATTTATTAAAAGTAACAAAATTACAATTAAAAAGTAAAACATCTTGAACGAATTAGTGAATTTAAGCTATTTGCAAGGGTGTGGTGGCGAAATTTTTGCTCGCTTCGCTCGCAAGAGGCATTGTTTTTTCCATTTCCCCCCTCCTTCGGGCCTCCTAAACTTCATCACACCTCACCACAAAATAAACCGTACACCACAACTTTTCTCTATTGATCAGTTTCCCTTGTCTGGCGTACAATATTTGCAGATTTACTAACTGCTCATATTTTCGGTGTACCTAAACAAATGCCCCGGTGGACCTTTTCTGAAGTTTAATTAGTGCCCTTTTTGTGTCTTGGACCCCTGCCCTCTGAAATTTCTGGTTGCGCGCCTGATCTCCATAGCTCTTATTACTTTTAGTTTAATTTTCACTTTCCTCCAACGCTTCCAAGACCTTTCCAACAGCATTTGATCATACTAAACCGAAAAAAATTCAATAAGTAAGCACGGGGGCTATGAACAGTAGATTTTTCAAGTTGATATACTAAACCAGCATAAGATAGCCCAATTATAGAAAAAATATTACATTATAACGTTTTTCGTTATGACAGTATTGAGATGTGAGAGGACTGGAGGCCAGAGAAGTGTTGAAAGAAATTGGTGAGAAATGCGAGAAAAAAAAATTTAGTTAATGTTAACTTGAAACTGTATTTAATTTTGAAATCTAAATTGTAGAAGAGAAAAGACGAGAGAGAATCTGTGTACCGCCATTATCCTTTTGAAATACTTTTCTGCTTTAAATTGAAGGAGCCAGACCAAAATGTTAAACAAAAATGTACATGGATAAGCAACATAATTATATGAATCTCATCATCATAAGTATCACGACAGACTTCCGCCTCACTACTTTCCCATGCGTAGGAAAGAAAAAACACACATCAAAAGTATATATTGAAAATGAACCCACTGCGCGTTCAGCTTTGTTCGATCCTAAGCTTTGATCCTTCCATACAGAAAAATACTGGGCACAAAGTTTTAAATCCAATTTCATTCGCATTCGCTCAACTAAACATTCCTTTCGCCATCCATAGAAGCACTTCTCCCTAATTTATGAATAAAATCAAGGTTAGTTAAAGATATCAATCTGCATAATTCATTGGAAAACATAAGAAGAGATTTAGCACAGATAGACCAAAGACATTGGCCTAGGAGGCTAATGCTACGAGTTTGACAAAAATACATACTGTTTGTTTAAACAGTAAAACGAAAAATAGAAAGTGAAAAATGGATTTGTTTGGAACCAGAAAAAATGGAACGAGGACTCGTTATTAAGCTGAACTTAAAGAAAAAACCAGTACTCACATAAGTGATTTGCGGAAATGTACCCTTGCAATTTGTTCATGAACCTTCAAGTTAAAAGATAAAAATTGTTATTTACAGTTTCTATGAATTCTTAATGACTAATAAAGTAAATGGCCATCATAATTATTAAGGCTTTGGCTACAGCTCCCAGTAAAAGGTAAATTTACATTTGATGATGTATCATGTTTTGTTTTCCTGTTTTCATATCAAGTCAATCTCACGTTTTCTTTTCAAAGAAAAATTTTCAATCAGTCTGGCAGGTTACAATCTTCACATTATACGGATTGGGTGGACAGTGGTACAGCACCCTCCCATTTTGCCCCAAAATACCAAAGGTTTTGTTATTTGTGAGGATGGCTCAATGGTTAGGGTGGCGGACAAAACATCCAAGGATGAGTGGTTGACACGACGAAACCTTCACTAAAAGTCGCCAGCTCTCTGTAGCTGCAGGCGTAGGAATAACAAGGTGAAAAAATCAAAGACCCGATCGATAAGCACCGCTTCTTACTGTCCTACAAAACTATTTTCTAAAGCTTTATAGTAATCAATTGAAAAACAGATTTTCTAATTAATGCACACAACCTGAAACTACAGTAAATCCCCGCATATAAGAACCTACAAAAATAAGAACCTAGAGGCTGTTCTTCCTAAATTATGCGCCTTGTAATTAAGAACCTGTTTCAGTGTGATAAAATATAAAAGGTTCTTATCCCAAGGGCAAAAAATAGAGTTTTGAATGGTTGGTATTTACTCCCAGATTTTTAAAGATGAGGTAAAATCACAATCGGTATAAAAATTTTCAGTTGTGCATTTTCAGCATTTAATACACTTTAACGAAAGAGAACTTAAAAATCACTTTGACTTTTTAACATAATTATATATAGCAAAATCCAAAATGTTGAAAAATGAAATAAAAGCATTAGAATTCATAATTTTCAATTCCTGAGGACGTATAAGATAATCTCCAGATCCATCCACTGTCATAAGGCAGCCAGTGCGCTCAAGCATCTTCTTATATATATTATTGTAATGTTGCATTAATAACATTGCCAAAAGGAAAAAAAACAGGGTTGAATGCATCCTTTGATAATGAATCCTAAAATTTTAAAAAAGGGATCCTTCGAATTAGAACCTTCATACCCTGAAATTAATCCAAGTACCTTTCCAATAAGAACCTACTTCAGCCTGAACCTCAAAAAAGTAGGTTCTTATATGCGGGGATTAACTGTATGTCACTAAACATCTTGCAAGCTTTACGTTAAACTAATAAACCATTTTTCATATTTTCTTGTCAATTATATTCAGGAACTAAATATTTTCTATGTTTTTTCAATGGCTATGCTATGATGTACAAACCTTCTCCATCTTCTTATCTTTTTGCAGCTGTTTCATTTTTTCCTTCCACGTCTGAAACTGCTCTTGAAGCTGGCAATATAAATTAAATTATTTTGATTATTCTCCTGAAATTATTCTAAAAGACAGTCAGGAAAGTGAAATTACAAAAAGACAAAAACTACAAATGTAAGAGAATAACTGGCTACATAGAAGGAAACAGAATTACAGTATCTGCGGAAAATATGCAAATATGCTAATTAACTCTCACCTGTCTTTTCTTTAGTTTTCCTTGATAAGACAAAAAGAAAATTACAAAATACAAAAACTTCAAAAGCAAGAGAGTAACCAGCTACATAGAAGGAAACAGGATTGCAGTAACTGCGGAATAATATGCAAAGATGCTGATTAACTCTCACCTGTCTTTTCTTTAGTTTTTCTTGATAAGACAAAAAGAAAATCACAAAAGTCAAAAACTACAAATGTAAGAGAATAACTGGCTACATAGAAGGAAACAGGATTGCAGTAACTGCGGAATAATATGCAAAGATGCTGATTAACTCTCACCTGTCTTTTCTTTAGTTTTTCTTGATAAGACAAAAAGAAAATTACAAAAGACAAAAACTTCAAAAGCAAGAGAGTAACCAGCTACATAGAAGAAAACAGGATTGCAGTAACTGCGGAATAATATGCAAAGATGCTGATTAGCTCTCACCTGTCTTTTCTTTAGTTTTTCTTGATAAGACAAAAAGAAAATTACAAAAGACGAAAACTACAAATGTAAGAGAATAACTGGCTACATAGAAGGAAACAGGATTGCAGTAACTGCGGAATAATATGCAAAGATGCTGATTAACTCTCACCTGTCTTTTCTTTAGTTTTTTTTGATAAGACAAAAAGAAAATTACAAAAGACGAAAACTACAAATGTAAGAGAATAACTGGCTACATAGAAGGAAACAGGATTGCAGTAACTGCGGAATAACATGCAAAGATGCTGATTAACTCTCACCTGTCTTTTCTTTAGTTTTTCTTGATAAGACAAAAAGAAAATTACAAAAGACAAAAACTTCAAAAGCAAGAGAGTAACCAGCTACATAAAAGGAAACAGAATTACAGTATCTGCGGAATCATATGCAAAGATGCTAATTAACTCTCATGTAAATCCCACTTGTTCTTCCTCTTGTTTTTCTTGATAAAACTCTAAAGTTTTCCTCAGAGGTAGCTTGCGCTGGGTGCACCTTCGCCATCGAATGAAATTACGATGGAATCAAACAATAGAATACGCGAAGCACCCAGGAAGGATAAATATATACCAGGCGAGACACCCAGGAGGGTTTGCATCTTTGTATACACTCAGATACATCTATGGAACAGCCTTTGATTACTTAACTAGAAAAAAGAAAGAAAAGCAGAAAGACATTGTTTGTGAATAGGGAAGGCAGCGGTGATCTACTTAGACATTTTCGATGAGTAAAAATATCTTAGAATTCCCTTGATTATTTCTTTATTAACAGCAATTGGTAGCCTTTCATAGCCATACAACAAAACTTAAAGTAGCATTTCATCTTGTAAAAGCGTAAAAGTGGCTTTTGTACAAATTTGGCTCATACCTGACGATTCTTGAACAAATTTTCCCAACAAATTGGGTTTACGAAAAGAGTAAGGAGGTTCTGGGATTTGTGGAATTGGTACTTTTGTATGATTTGATGTCAGGTCATTATTGAATTTATAAAAGAGAACAAGACACCTACTCCATCGACGCAAGTTAAGCGATTCCCATCCCAGTTAATTGTAGATTTTCTCACGTGATGCTTCTTTCCGTGCACCGCAATTAGGAACCGCTGGCTTAAATTGCTCGATATTCTCTAGGGACTGTTGATGTTGATTTGACGAACGGTACAGAGGCGTGATACTGTATGCTCGACAATACTTATTGCATTATAAAGTTGACACAAGGAATGCGAATTCCTATCAGCAAAAACAGTTTATAATCAAATGAAAGGATATATTTTGTTCTACCTTGTTGGGGTATCTAAGGGAATAACTTTTAAGTAAGCCATGAACATGAAGCAAAAATTCCTACTGGAATTAATATAAATATCAACACGGAGTAAGTATGGAACGCAAGAGTAAGAAGTAAAGAATACGACCTTAAAAGGTTCAAGAAACTGAACCACGCATCGCTGTTAGTTTTCCCAGCCCTTCTTCAGCATTAACAATTCTAGCGATCCTTCTTCTGTATTCAGGACAAGGCGGCAATTTATGTCCACGAAGGCGAATTCGATTCTGTCAGAGACTTTAGCTTTTTCACGTGCAAGAGAATCAAGTTTAGCCCTGCGAGGTGTTAAGTCAGGTTTAATTGCTACATCATTCAGCTTTTCCTTGTCATGTTAAACAGTAACTCTCGTCTCCCAGGTATTGAATTTTACGATAACTGCCTGTTCACGTATTTGATCTCCGGTTTTGTTTTTGCCTTGCCAATTCTATATGCTCTATCTATGATTTCTGCGGGCACCCTTACTTAAAATTTATCAAATATCTCCTTTACTTTACTAAGACACCAAGCTGAGGTTTGTTTCTCTGAAAGGGGGATGCCATAAATCCGGAGGCAGGAACGCCGATTGTCTTGTTCTGCATCATCTACATTCTTCTCAAGTTTTCTGAGATGGGCTTCGTATACCTCCATTTTGCTTTCGAGAGGACTTACTTTGTCGACCAAAGGTTTTGTTACACGTTCAAGTTTGTTGCCACGGGATTCCATAATTTTCATCTCAAGTTTTGATATGATATGTTCAGTTAAATCATCCCTTGTGGTCAAACTAGCATTGAACAGAGCTTCTTCAATGACAGCCTTTATTTTTCCATCCATATCAAGTGTGACTCTTGTTTTCGTCATTTAGGCCCATAACAGCGAGAGAATACAGATGTCAAGACAAAATCGTAACAAAAGCTTTCAGGAGCCGAAAATGATTTAAAGAAAATACTTGCGACTTTTATATTGCAATCCAGCATCAAATTCACACGGAGACCATGAACCAAACCCATCACAAACGCAAAAGAGAGATTTTAATCACAGCATTGCAAGAACATGACCGCCCTTCATTTTTTTGCACCAAAATCAAATGGTTGCTATGGCTTTCTTGCGAATCATAGCTTCCCAAACGATGTTTATCAATTTCGCGATCTTAAACAACTGTTTAACAAATCTAGAATTGACGTGGCAAAAACCCAAAATTGGGCTCAAAATCAAATTCTAAAGATGAAGAACAGTCCCTCCGAACTTTTGTTAACAGGATTCCCTTAACATTTGTTAGTTTCATTATATTGTTTAGTTGTGTTATGTACTTAGATTGGAATTTCAAAACTGTAAAATGAATGCTGCATTTTGATCGTTTAATTTTGATGACCAAGGTGAATTTTTGCATTTCTGGAGAACAATCAGCTCTCATTTTAGGTACAGTCACGAAATACTCAGAAGAATCTGCAATTTCGAAAACAATCAGGGGCTCTCCCTTTCCCCTTTCTCCCAACACTTCTAGCAGAAAATGTCACTTTCCTTTTCCACATTCAAGTGCCGATGACAGCAAACAAAGGTAATTCACAAACCAAACATTCGAGTAGAAACATCGGATAAAATGGGCCAAAAATCAAAATTAAATGGGCAACTTTAGCATAAAAACCATGTGCATGAAAACAATCTACAGATTGACATTTGGCATCGAAAATCAGAAACTTAACTTCCAAGTTTACTTCAAAATGGGAACTTTATTGAGTATATTCTTGTTTGCTTCTTATTTGAAGTTTTTCGCGATGGAATAGTAGCATCGTGTACTTCAATTAACGATCTTAGTCATAACGGCTTCTTTTTTTATCCTTTTTTCAGAAAAACCAATATCTCTTTATCTTTAAAACTGAGATACGCATTTTGCCAACGCAAAACTGAAGCAGTTTCAGTTTGATACAATCACCTGTGAAAACATCAGCAAATCTGATAAACAAAGAAGGATCAACTACAAATGAACAGCATTGTTTTCACAATTCATAAAATATAAAACTTTCTGTATTTACAATGGCCACACGACGTATTGTCGTAACAATCAATCAATTAAAATAAAACTGTTACTGTTTCAAATATTTAGTTTTTCTTATTTGGTTTTTTTGTTTCTGTAAAGGGTGGTAGTGGCTCGTAATGTTCAAAGCCCGGGTCGTACTTGACAGTGAGCTCTGCTGGCGACAGTACGAAATCGACATAATGTTCTGGCTTTGCTCTTGACTGTTTGCACCTTCCCTTTGGGTAACCCACAACTTCGCCTTCCTCAAGGGTTATCGAAGGAAACTGCTCTATGCACAACTCCCTCTTAACCGCTTCTTTGTCGTATACCACGCGATTCGCTGATAAACAATGCTTCAGCAAAGACTCGGCCGAGAGGGGATCGTCTATACCCCTTGCCATTGATACAAGGGTAGAGGAGGAGCGCGTTTCACTGGCCACTGGTTCCCCTTGCTTATCATCAGCCAAAGTTGCCTGTTCGCCATCATCATCATCATCAGCACTTTGCTTTGTCCCTTGCTCTACAACTGAACCAATTGGTTCTGTCGTTTCGTCTTCACTGTCTCTTTCTTCAGGTATTCTATCGTAATCATCACATTCAGAGTAATCGTCACTCGGGTACTCATTAAGGTCGAGCTCCTTTTTCTCCAATGCCAGGTCCCTGTATAAAATATATCTTTGTTTCAAATTCTCTTGAGAACATGATGAGCATAGAGATTTCACGTTATTCACTAAAACGAAACTTTTGGGAACATTCAGTAGTGGATATAGAATGGGATAAAAACTCAAATATACGCGACCTCGAACCCCAAAAGAGTCCATGAAAATAAAAAGGAAATATAAGGGCAAGAATTGGTATCTTTTACAGGTCTTGTTGTTATGCTTTTCATATGCCCTTCTACCTTCGAAAAATTTTCCTTAGCCTGGAAATAACCCCTTCGTTCAATTAAGACAGATACAAGGGACAACTCTTGCAAAAGTCTTCCTGTTTAAAAGTCATCGGAGCCAATGAAAATATATGTAGAACTTGACCAACTTAGAATACAACATTAGAAATATAATCTGACCCTTTTTTGGTAGCGTCCAATTGGGAATCTTCGATTTCAAAGGCCTTTGCATCCCACTGCGATATGACATTTTCATCTGCATGCCCTTTCATCGTTCCACTTTGCTGTCCTATTGCTCCATTGGACACAGTTTTCTGCCGTTCTGAGAGGACGTCACTGGTACAAACAGCCTCCTTTTCATTTTCAACATCTTTTCCTTCATCGCAGTCACTTTCCTCCGGGCAAGTAACATCTAACTGCGAATCCACTTTTTGCAGGGACTCAATCAAGTTGCCATTATCGTTGGCAGTCTCTTTTATTGTAACTATTTCAAGCTCCAATATTTTCTCCTCCAATTTAGCCTTGCTTGTTCTCAAATCAGCATTCTCTCTCTTAACACTCTCTAGTTGCTCTATTAACACATCCGAAATGTTATTATTCAACTTCATTTCAATAATTTCATCTTCCAAGGCTTGCTCGCGCAATTTGAGTTCACTATATTCGGCCTTAATTGATTCTAGCTCTTGTTCTCGATCTTCCAGCATACTTTCCTTCACAACTAGCTCCAACATCTTATCTTTTAAAACCATCTGATTGGCTTGCAGCTCATCGATCTCTTTCCCCATGCTTTCGGTTTCAAGTTTCTTAATCTCCAGCGTTTGTTCCATCGACTCTAAAGCTTTTGTTTTTTCCTCAAGCTTTATGGCGTTGTCTCGCTCTATATCCTTTGCCAGTTCCAGAACTTCAAATTCTGCACATTTTTGCTTACAGACTTGCAATTCCTCTTGTAGCTCTCTGGCCTCTTCTTCATATCTTTCTTTGAGCTCACATCTCAACATTTCTCCTTCTTTTATTTGCTCTCTGTAGCCTGCAATTTTGCGCACCTTCTGTTCAAAGAGGAATTCCTTTCCTTTGGCCTCCTCTAGAATAACATCCATTTCTTTTTGCAGTTTCTCGTGGTTTTCCTCGAGTGCTTCATATTTTCTACGATATTCTTCCATTACCGCAGTTGCTTTGCTTTCATTTTCTTTTGCACGCCTAGCTTCACCATTTGCTTCTTCAGCAATTCTTGCCGCTTCCCTCAAATCCTTTCTTACATCCCCTAACTGTCTCTTCACTATTTGCAACTCATGGAAATCAGTTGACATCTGGTTACTTGACCAAACCTCGCATGAATTTTGCTGCTGGTATCTTGAAGCATATGTCTTGAGCCGTGCATTTTCCTCCCTTAACTGAAGGATTGTTCGTTTCAATTGCATTTCTTTTTCAGCTCTAGTATCCTTCCCTTTATCGTCAACTCCTTGCATCGGATGAACATCAACTACAAGAGAGTCCCTATTCAACATTCTATGTCCAGTATAACTCCCACTTTCATCACTGTCAGCGCTGTACACCCAGGCTTGAACATTTTTAGGCTCATTTTGATCAGAAAACAAAATACGGCGAACTTCTGTTTTTGACTCCATAGCTGCAGTCCTTGTATTAGACTTTGTGTCATCTTTATACGGGGTATTCTCTGCCCCATATGTTTCACTATTGCAGTCTGACACTTTGCCTTTTCTACCTCCAAAACATCCTCTCAAACTGCTTAGCAACCCCTTTCTCTTGAGATCTTCTCTCTTTACTCTTCCGTTCATTCCCTTTTCTTTTTTAGAACTCTCGGGTTTCGCAGGTCTCTCTGCTTGCCTTTGTGCCACAATTCTGTGGTCCTTTGTCCCACTACTATCCTCAGAAAGAGCATTGTCTTGAATACCCCACTGCTCTAGACTTCCCTGCAGGCCATCCCACAAGGTTCCCTGTTTGCGACAAAGGTTTGTCTCACTGTAATTACTTCTAATGGGAACTACGTCATTATCTGTACCAGGTCCTTCGACTGTATCTCTGCTGGCTGACACTTCTGGTTCCCGAGTTTTCTTCAGACGCCTTTTCATTTTCCAGTCACGGATAAAGCTCATGAGGCCTTTTTTCTTCTCCATGGTATAATGAACCTTTTTATACCTTTCCTTTCTGCGAAAAGTCCCTTTCTTTATCTTCACAAGATTGGTCTTGCTCTCACTGTACGTAACAGCTCCCAGGACCAACCCTTGTCCCTTGAAAGAAATATCATCACCCTCAAAACTGTCGTATCCAGTCTCCCTCATACGTTTTGTCTTCGTTATCAACCTCCATTTCCCTTTCTTAGTAGAGGCCTCATCTCTACTACGAGGTGAGAACTCTCCCAAGCTGATTTCGTCATCACTCTTGTTGGAGAGGTCATCGACATGATGGATAAATCCACCCCTTGACAAAACCTCTTGCTCTCTTCGATCCAAGTAACTTCGATTCTTTGAACCTAAAAGAGCAATGTTTGTCTAAATTACAGAACAATTCAAATCAAAGGGTTAGTTGAAGTTAAGCAAAAACGGTCATGGTAATAAGAAGATCGAAACAAAAGTCAAAAAACTTCTACACTTGTATGGTTTGCTCAAGTTGATGCTGGAATGTCTAAAAATCGTTTTTACAGCTAGGTTGAAACTTAGCTACGAAATAGAAGAAACCCTTTTCGGATTCTCAAAGAAATTTCGAAGAATTTTTAATTAAAAGCCATCAATTGACTCACGAAGATATGATTACGAATTCTTCAATACTTACCCTTTTTGTATTGATCATCTCCAGCACCAACTTCGCTTTGGCTGCGATTAGATATAGTTTTATCGAGAACCAACCCTGTTTTATCGACGAACTCTGATTCATAAGCCTCGATATTCTTTACAGCCTCTCCTTGAATTCCCGAAATCAGAGGCTTTGCAATTTCCATGTTTCTTTGCATTGCACTGAACTTAGCAGCCAAATCATCCAGCTCTCTCTTCATTCGGGCATTATCAGACTCAGACTGTTCCAGTCTCTCTTTCAGGTCTTTCTTCTCGCTCTCAGAAACAGAGCAGCGGTTTTCCAATTGGCCTTTCCCCTCCACGATGATGTCTTCATTTTCAGAGTCTAGAACTGACTTGTCTGCTGTTAGCAACCTCCTTACTTCCTGCTTCTCAAAGTTGCGTATTTCTTTGGCCAGTTTCTTTTTGCACATCGCTAGCTCCTTCTTTAGCTGATCAACCTGTTGGCTCAGTTGCTTTTCTTTCATCTTATACATCATCTTCTCGTCCAGCCCTTTTCGGCTTTGGGTATTGAGTGTCTGTGTCGCTTTGGCATGTACCTCCTTTACTTCTGGGTACAAATTTTCGTGCTTAGTGGCAGTCTCCGTTGTTCTTAATTTCTCTAATTGCCATCTAAGCCTCTTTTTCTTCAGCTCTTGGCTTTTCTGCCAGGAAGCCTCTTTGCTTTCTTCCTTAACATCAAAGGTATTGGCACTTGTAGCTTTCAAACTGTCAGTTCTCTGACCTTCTCTATCTTCATTTTGTTCCGTATTCCCAGCCGGTTGCACCACTGGTGGTGGCACAAACCACTTCACACGGACTGGTTTTCTTGTCGCATTGCTCTTGCCTTCAGTCCAATCGCACCTATCGACGACATCAGGTGGCAGGTGTACGCCTTTCAGCCCCGTCTTACCTTCAGAATTTGCAGAATCTTCAAGGTTTATGACCTCGTCCTCTTCTGAACACGACATTCTTTCCTTGCCCCTACCTAAACACGATAGAGGGTCAAGGGAATGCACGTGTGTACCCTTCCAAAGGGTGACTTGGGCTTCGAAAACGAACCGCTCTCCTGAAGTAGATAGTAGATCAAGTCAACATCAGAAAACCTGAGAACTTGCAAAAATCAATAAGAAAACTCTTTTCCTAGTGAAAGAAATTAAACACACCAAGTATTACTTTAATACATCTTAGCTTTAAGTAGTTCTTTGGTAAGAATTCGTGATTTGAAAAAGAAGTTTGACTTGAATGAGATACCAACCTTTCTCGCTCTAGTCCGAGATTTCTCAACTTCTGACTTGAAACTTCCAATAAAATTTGTAAAATTAATGAAGAATATTAAATAAAAGTAAAGCGATTCAGCTTAAAGCTGAAACACGATCGATTTCCTCCAAATACGCAGAGGTAAGCAGCGAAATTTCACCTAAACGGCAAAACGGTCCTCACTCAACGGTAACTCAACCAGAATTGAAGCGAATTCACATCGAAGCTCTTCTAATGTGACGTGAGATTTCTTTGGTTATCAGTGACGTCAGATTTAAAAGCAATGCGATGAAAGCGCAAGATATGCGGTAAAAACGCGAGAATTCTGCGTTGAATATACTGTAAAATTCATATAAACTCGTTTAGAGGCGATGAACAACTAGTGGCCAAGCCAAACAGAAACCGAGTTGCCAGTGGTCTGAAATTGGTTTGCTAAAATTACGTTAGGGCTTTCATAGTTTTATATATTAATCATTAGAGTATTCATGGGAAAAGGGAGGGCTCTCCATCGTCCTGTGCCTTTAGCAAACTATCAAGCATAAACTCGTCCAATATATGAAATTGTCTTCATGTCTAAAGGCTTAAAAATAAAAATGGCGGCCAGATTAGGATATTTAGGTATATCTATTGTCAATCAACTTATCTACAGCATAGTCAAAATTTAAAATCAAAATTATTTCCAAAATTTATAAGCACAAAACTTGTTTCTATCAATATCTTTCACAGTGTTGTTATTTACAATGATATAAATAATAACAAACATTCACGAAGTCTAGTAATTTAAAATATATTTATTCGTATTAATTACAATGCATACAAAACCTAGGATTTTCTGTACAACTTTACTTCTTAAAAGTCGGGTCTATCATGAAAAGCCAGTACTTGCAAAAAGTCTCTTGTACTCATGAAAGCTAGTGGCATAGATGATAGGGTCTTCGTGTTAGGCCATACATAAGATATCCCCACGGTAAGATCATTTTCAATTCGGATAAATTTTAAAAAGAAAAATCGACAAGGAAAATGCAACTAAAGACAAAGAGACTCTATGCAGAAGTTTTTAGATGTGAGAAAATCAGGAAAAGTGTTGTCAAAAAAATTTTGAGAGAATTTTCAAGAGTTTTTAAAAATAACGGCAATGATATATCCAAATCATTTTTGAAAATATCAGCTTAACGTGTATCATAGGCCCGTTGAAATCGTTTGTGTTCCCAAATCAACGCTAGTTTGCCGTCTCTCAAGATTTGTTGTATTCTTGCATCCATTTTCTGAAGATTTTATTCTGCTTTGTCAGTTCAAATTCCTTAAGAGCACGACGTCGTATGTAGGTATAATTGTACCACGCAGAGAACACCTAAAAATTTAAAACCAGATAATTAAGCATTTACCTTGAAAAGTTGAGAGCTTGATGAAGTTGATACGTACACATAAAAATCAGATTACTTGATTGGTTGGGAATATAATTTTTCTGTTTTAAGCAAAAAATTTTCCCTTCCTATCTGAACAATGATCGTTGTTTATTGCAAATTCTTATTTATGGGAATTTTCGACA